TCTCTGTGACAGGTAGAAGTTCTAACTGGGTAAAAGTCCACAATATTTCTTGCTGTTCGATGCTCCCGCTTGCAAAATGTTCAGAAATTTTCAAAACTCATTTGCAGCCGCAAATTGTCAGCGGCGAGCGCTTGAGCATGCTCCAAGACAACGGATTTTTCAGTCAATCAGCAGTTTTTCCGCCGTGCCCATCGAGCCCGAGAACTAGCCGTTACTCGTTGGGGCTTCAAGGACATGTCAGAGAAGGGCCTGGTGTTCCTGATGCCCTCATATTACATATTTTCCATTATCTTTATATTTGGTCGTTTCTGCACTATTTCATAGTGCGTGCGTGCGTGCCTGCGGCGGCAGGTATATTTTGCAGGGCGCAGGTTGCAGGTTGCAAGTTGAAATTTAATTATAACTTGAAAACCGCTGGCACTTAAAAGAAACGTACAGCTGGTAGACTTACCTTGACTGTTACATGACTCTGCTTACAATCGCTCAGAAAGGCAGCTTCCACCTAAGTGCCAAACCGGCCGAAGCGATGGGAGGAGCGTATATNTATGCTGTGTTCATTGTGTTAAGTCATCTGTACACCAATATCTGCAGCAGAAGAGTATTGTAAATAAACTGAGCACGTGCCTCCGCTTGGCACAAAATGAACACGACACCAACGTACAAAAGAAATCACAACACAAAGAATAACACTCAAAGAAAGCGACAAAACCAGGCTAACATTTGCAACATACTTACTTATGATTAATCCGCATACTCTGTGACAAGTAGAGGTTCTAACTGGGTAAAAATCCACAATATTTCTTGCTGTTCGATGCTCCCGATTGCAAAATGTTCAGACATTTTCGAAACTTGTTTGCAGCCGCAAATTGTCAGCGGCGAGCGCTTGAGCATGCTCCAAGACAACGGATTTTTCAGCCAATCAGCGGTTTTTCCGCCGTGCCCACTCAATTGAAAACCTCTCTAATAAAAACAAGCAATGTTAATATCCTATTGCCATTAGGAAGTTGGTAAATTTATAAATAAGAGAAATACTCGGTAAAAAAGATTGATTTCAACTCGTATCAGCTGTAACTTACAGGTTACATCAAGTTAAGCGGCAATGTATGGTACCGAATTGTAGTATCCCATGGCAAAGGATTTTGCGAAATTCATTTTTTCTGATTCTTGCGATGTTTTCTTCCGTATCCTCGCAGAAATTTACTCCAAAGCTTTAAGGTAATTATGCCTTTTACGATTATTTTTTTCTTCAATAAACGGATTCAACCAACATCATTTACATGTTCAACAATTTACTCTCAGACCTACAGAATAAATGCTACAATCAATAGGTTGAAACATGAGAGGAAGGAGTTTGGAAGCGTCATTAGCTGTCATTCAATGGAGATGATGAAATTTACGGAAAACAGCAATGAGTGATATTGTACAAATTTTGTCTCAGAGTGCATCAATTTCTTTTAGTCCAGTCCTAGAGCATGCTCCTCAGATGTGTATATACATATACGCATAAAGTTTATTGTTATTTAATGGAATGATACACTCTTTGTTTACAAATCAGCACCCAATAGAAGTAAATTTTTTTCTCCAAGAGCCGAGTGCATCTCAAGAAGTTGTTGATGCTACTGCATTGCTGATGGAATTTCTCATCGCGAGACTCAAGGCAGTGCTACTTAACAACTTCTGCCGAACAGCATTCATCGATTTTGTCAAGCATTCGCTGGTTAACTCAGTAAAGAACTATCGCCAACTGCATCCTGGGTAGTCTTTAACTCGTGGTGGCTGTCAGCTGTGTGTGGGTAGTATTTACCAGGCATTTGTATTCTGATCTCCAGTGCACGTTAATGTGACTGAAGTGCGGTCCTTAAGTCGTTCAAACTGTATTGTGTGACTCCAAGATCCCGGTAGCTGTCAGCTGTCTTTTCGTGTGTTTCACCAAACAGTTCTAGTCTAATGTCCAGTGCACGTTGGTGTGACTGAAGTGCAGACCTTAAGTCGTTCATTCTCCCTTGTGTGTTTCCAAGTTCATGATAGCTGTAAGCTGTCTTTTCGTGTTTTTTACCAAACAGTTCTAGTCTAATGTCCAGTGCACGTTGATGTGACTGAAGTGCGGACCT